TAGATGTTGGCACCTCCACATCATTGCATTCAGTTTTTATTCACAATATGTTTAGTGTTCCAACTTTTCTGGAATCCGGTTTGTATTTATTATTATATATACTCATTCCTTTCCACTGTCGCCTTCATGCTTGCTCAAGATGAGAGTTCTGTGATGGGAGATAAATTCAGTCTGCTCCTCAGATAAATAGTGTCAACTTATTTTTATGTACATGAATGTTTCTGTTCAGTGCCCCCTGAGACAACTTCTGTTGTGACTTGGCGCTATATAAATAAACTGAATTGAATTTATCAGGTTTTAATAGCTGCACACGTCTCCCAAGCCTGTTTTATTAGAGGGTCTCTCAGCTGCAGACGTTGGGGCAAATATTTAAAAATCTAACAATTGGCAATTCAAAGGGAGTTCTTGCTTAAACTACTCATCCCTAATTTATACTAAACAATCAGAACGCTTCAAGACTGTTGGACTCACTTGTCGTCAGGCAGACTTGTGACGTAGAAAGGCTGTGTACCACCTGGACACAGGGTGACGGAGTTCGCCTTCTTCTTGGCCATGAGTGCAGCGCGGTGCGTCTCGTACACGTCCAGATTGAGGGTGGTGGACAGACGGTGAGACACCACAAACGGCAGATCCTTTAGGCGCTCCAGCTCGCTGGACTGCTCGTGGCGGACCTGCAGTCGTACGGTGTAATCTCCCTTCTCCAGCTTTAGCGAATACTGCAGAGGTAAAGCAAGGAAACATCTGTCAGTTAACTGAGACTTTTCACAATAAAAGAGCAAAACTGTTCATTGGTGTGAGCATACCTGGTGTGGGTAGGCATCTCCTGAACCCAGGAGTCTCTTGTTCTGATCAAACAGCATCCAGAGCTGACTGTCAAACTCAGACTCGTACAGCAGCTCACACAGCATCGGGCAGCTGGGTGTAACCTCCCCACTCTTAGGCTGGAGATGGAGCAAAAACGATTCATACATCAAAATAAAAGTCTATAATCATCCACTTTGATGTGCAGAAATGTTTGGTATTACCTGGTGAAAGCTGTACGTGAGGACTATTTCATAAAGTTGTCTGTTGTTAGGCAGAACATCCCGCATTCCTAAAGCTTTTATCTTTGAACTTAAGGGCCTACGACGACAGAAACATCAACATTAAAGGAGCTGGATTTTTATTTTATTTTTTATCTGTACAGCGGTCTGCAAACTCACCTGAGAGGCTGAACCCACGACTTAAGTGTGATGGTAGGGGACAACTCTTCATATCTAAGAGGCGAGGACACCTCAAAACTCGTCACTCCCTCTGAGGCATTCTGGGCCGAGACAACACGAAGTCAAAACCAGACACTCTCTGATCTCCACAATCTGTGAGTGCGTGAGGAGTTCTTACGATGTGCAGGGGCGAAGGAGAAATGCTGAGTCCGTGAAATAAGATGCTGTAGTCCACAGTGACGCCCCCCAGACTCGCCCACCAGCGTGCGATGCAAAACTCTACCACCTTACCTGCCTGAGAAGGAAGCAAGAACACACTGAAAACACAAAAAGTCGATCATGTCTTTGGCTCAGCGTCTGACGATGAAGTGAATCAAATGTATGTAATAAGTAAAATATAAGTACCAGAACTGGGAAAGCCTCCGTGAGAGAACCTTTTTCTAATAATGAGGAGAACTTGTAGAACTCGTTAGCCCTGTAGGCTCTCTGTTTGACCAGGTGCACCGCGTGAAGTACGAACTTTGACGACACGTCTCCTGAATGAGAGGTCAGAGTGATTTCTGTAGGGGGAGAAAAAAAAAAAAAAGAGTAGAGATTGAAAATATTAAAGCAGATTTAAAAAAAAAAGGAACAAGATGCTAAAGTAGCATTTTGATACTCAGCTTCCTGTAATCCCTCAGGGTAACTACTCTGCAATAAATTCTATCCTAACAGAGATTATGTAAAATTATTGACGTTTCACAGAAAATTTAATTTGGTATGCTTGTTAAAAGAGTGGGGTGATTTCATTTGGCTCAACTTATTTATATAATTGAGGCCAGGAAACCTGACAGTTCTGGGTAAAATACCAAAAAAAAAAAAAGATTTTTAAAAACACAAACCATCTAAAGGGAGACAGCCGGGTTTATTTCATGAGAAGGCTCAAGTGAAGCATTCGCTACAGGATGTTTAATCGATTTGTCACTGCGAGCCTCATCTTTGTTGTGGCATGGTTGTGGTTTGCTGCAGGCGTCAAAGTAAAATCCTAACTAGACTCATGAAAAGACCGAGTCTGCAGACAGTTTGAAGTTTACAGAATACTGGAAAAACTGCTGCCGTTTACAAAACACTTAATAAAATATTCAGGTCTGCTGCGGACTCACTAAACCCTGCAGTTCAGAAGAATGATGGAGGAAATACTTTGATCCTTTTAGTTTCTTAGATATTTCAACTAGATCCAAATCCTATCGTTTTGAATTTGATTGTTTCAGATTTACAAAATTACATCCAAATCATTGTATTTGATAAATCACTTAGTACTTAATGACACAAGACAATGATCTAATATACAGATTACAAACCACAGAATATATTAAATATGTCTACCTACATGATTATATCACGTATACAAACCCTAGAATGCTGTAATTTATCCATGAAATCATTAACGGTAGAGGTTAGATTTTATTGTCTGATGCTTTGTGACATGAACGATTCCTAATCAATTTCAAAATGTCAAAACTTTAATATTTGATTAATATTAGATAACTTGCCATGGCGGGGCGCTCATCTCATCCGTGATTTTTGTCGGGAGGGGGCACATCTGAGCTGCGCGCTGTTTGTGCTGTCAGTTTTCGAGCGGGGTGGGGGTGTTCAGTGTGGGGAAAGAGTTAGCGTGAGCGCTGCCTTTAGCTTTTTAGCCAGCGTGCCTGTATTGAGCGCCACTAGCGGTGCTTAATTTTAACCAGATCCTGCCGGAACAGGATCCGGGAACTCTTCTTATTTTGACTGGGTGCGTTCCAGTAACTGCTTGGACCCGGCAACTCTCAGGCTTACTAATAATAAAGTTATGAACAATTATGACTGCCTCGAAAGAATAAAACTTATACTGGATATATAAACTGAAAATAATTACATACTAATTTTAAACACAACAGCATACGAGCGAACCAGGCAGTCGTACGCGGGCAGGAGCTCACATGCAGCTGCAGGCAGGCGTCAGGAGGTTCACGTGGAGTCGGACAACAATGCGCCCGACTTGATGGCTCCGTCAAGTAAGTCAGGTGTGTGTGTGTGGGGGCGGGGGTGATTGACAGAAGTGGAGTATTTAATATTTAGTAGGTAAACGTAGATGCTTAACGACCCGTTAAAATACACCAAAATGCAGGAAATTGCATCTACTTTTTTCAAAATTTTCTAGGGAACAACACCCAGAACCCCCCGACAGCCCACCCACTATTTACGTTCCGGCATCAGTCGTGTTGGGAATAAAATAACCTTTGATGAAAAATGGTGGAAAATAACATAATATGGATTGGTGAATATAAGGTTTAGTTATGAATTATGGAAAATAGATTGTATAAAGATGGCTAGAATTTCTGTTAGATGTGTAAACGAGACCATAAGCTGATAAATAATATATCTTCAAGGACTGCTAACTTTAAAATCAAACCATGACACTTTCTGCTGTCAGTAGGAAAATAGTTACTTATTTCTAATGAGGCCTTTAATGACAAACAAAACATCAAAAAGGTTCTTGCTCAGGTAACTGAAGTTAAATGATGGTTCACATCATTTGAGTGTTTGCGGGGATCATAAAATAATTAATAATGAGTAAAAGAATAGCTTAATAGGTCAGAGCGACCCTGGCTCTTAGTGGAGCAATCTAGAAACCCGATAATGTGCTAATTTATCAAGGGAATAATCAACATTTTCACAGCCTTTGTGAGATTATGTGTGGCTTGGTGCTGGTTATGTGTCATGTGCTCAGTGGAAAGAGATGACAGCTAATGTGTGCCTGACTGATTGGACAGGGACTTCAGAGTCTGTAAGGTGTTTATTGGACAGGAATTGAAAACAGGAAGTATCACGGGGTGAAGAAAACAGTCTATAAATGTGGAAACAGACTTGACACACGTCAGAACAGAGGGTCCCTCGTTGTATATAAAAATATTTATACAATTCTCTCTTGTTCACGCATTTTGAAGTCTGTAAAAATAAAGATGTTGTTTAGTTCTGATATAAACGTGTGTTCCTTCCGAGCAAACAACCCAGACAGGGGAAGAGGAGATACGGGTCATTTGTTTCCCTTTACAGTCGATTGACAAATTAAGCCCTAGTCGTTAGCTTAGCGCTACGTCAGTGCCAACGAGTGGGGAGTGCGTGCAGTTCGGTTCAGTAGGCGAAGCACTCGGCTCTGTTAACGGGACGGGGTGCTCCGTTTGTGTAGGGGAAACACTGTATTTAATGTTATGAACATCATGAGAAACTAGGGTTGGCGCCCAGACCGTTGTTGGCGTGAACGCAACAGATATGCAACCTACAAGTGGCACCTTCCACACCAACATCCAGAGTTTAGAACATCTACTGTTCGTTTGGTACCAAACAATCACAACTCAGCGAGACTGCAACTGAAAACTTGACTATTTTCACACCACGGCTCACCATTTTGTCATCAAGTAGTCTCCAGCAGTGGCAGAGATATCACCTTAGTTTGCACCCTTTGGACACCCACAAAAAGCATGATCACCCTTAAAAGATTTACTCACAGAGCTGTTCCTAGTCTACAATGTGAAGAAACACAGAGGTGGAAACGAAAGCAGGTAAGACGACTAAAATGTGATTCATGGACTCTCATGTCCACAGAATATTGTCTCACTGTTCTCAGCATTTTGACTCCTTTTTCATTTAGTTCCCGAAGGCTTGTTTGAATGAGAACTACATTATACTACAGTACAGAGAAATATATATACTTTAAGGTCTGAGACATTCTTTTCTCAGGTTTTTCTTTCAAGAATAATTGTTTTATAATCACATCGCAGGCCTCTGAATTGTAATCAAATCTCGAGTTGCCTAAAGATTTCCGTCCTTATTCTGTGTCGTATTTCATTTATTTTAACATTTTCACTGTTTGCATTTCCAACCATGTTTTAAGGTACCTATGAGCTAAATGTTTAATCTTATTAACAACAACAACAAAAAAAAGCAGAGGCAATGTTGACCCATAAGTTGAATTAAAGTCACTCCCAACCCGAAGCTGTGCTCTCATCACTCAGAGATACTAACCTGCCCAGGAGGCCCCCTGAGGAACCGTGATGAAGTGGCGTTTGATCTGTCCTGGTCTGAAGTGGACGTCTGTGAATCGCACCTCTTCGTTACGACCATCTGTCACTCTGTTGCAAAGAACATGAACAACAGTGACGCAAATGGGAAAAAGGAGGGAAAAACAAAGTGTACACACAGTCAGAACTTACTTGAGGGGGATAATAACCGTAATCGGGACTCTGAATAGTGGACCACAGCTTGGTGCAGCTGTATCGTATCCACACACCTGGAAAAAAAAAAAGACTTTGAACATCATAAATACACGTATCCTTCACCTTCTCCTTTCCTCTTCCTCACCTCGGTGTAGTGAACTCCTTCTCTCAGACCCGTCGGGTCGATGCGGACATTGATGTGACGACATTGGTTCATCAGCTCTAAATGGGACGGACAATGAACCCACGGGGCGGTACAGGTGAGCGACAAATGCAGCTGCAGGGAGATTCGCTCAGAGTTTTCTGTGAAAAATTAAAACGACGTTTAAAACACAAAACCGTAGTTTGTTGAAAAAGCTAATTCAATCGCACGGACGTGCTTCTAAACACCTGTGTTTTCTGGGAAGACGGGCTCAATTCCAACTCCGTGATCTGAAGGTGCGAGAACTTGGGCTGGATGCCTGAGGTAGATGCCTCTCTGTGATCCCACACTTACTGAGAAGCCCAGGTGGCTTGTGGGTAAAGAGGCGTGTTGAGTGAGGTAGTCTAAAGCCTTGTCCACCTGAAAGGAAGAAAGCGTAAAAATAAATATTTGAAAACAAATGTAACCCCGCCCAATACATCTCACAACGGATGTCGTACCTGGATTATTCCATGACCCTGAGCAAACACCTCGATGTCATCGACCTTCAGAGCCGTGTTCTCCAGCGCTCTCCTCACAGCAGGAACAGAAGGTTGGATCCCATTCTGCTTCAGGCCTTTTTCACACAAATGTTTTCTCATTAGTGTCAAGACGTGTGTTCACGTTTCCCGTTATCAGATCAAGAAAGAGTCCGTGACCCACCTGAGAGGACGAGCGCGATGCCTCCGCAGGCGTTGGGAGACGACATGGACGTTCCGTTCATCAGCTGGGTGCCACGAAGGGTCCAGTTGGGCACAGAGGCGATGGCACCACCAGGGGCACTGATGCTGACTCCCAGGGCCCCATCAGTGCTGGGGCCCCTGGAAGACCACGTGTACTGGTTAGGGGGCAGCTTCTCTCTCAGGGAATACTCGGCCACCATCATGTCTGGAGTCACATACGCTCCAACACCTACAGGGAAGAAAGGGTCTGAAATTAATTTAACACAGAATTCATGAATGACATCTGAGGTTGGTTCATTCAAAACGTTGCTACTGTAATCATTTACACATCAATCCACAATAAAACCTAAAATATTATTATTTTTTAAGTTTCCTCACATTTATTCTGACAGAATAAAAAAATCCAAAAAAGCTGGGACTAAGTGTAAAATGCACTTTAAAAACAAAACCCAATGATTTGCAAATATCATAAACCCATATTTTATAGACAAGTGAAACATAGTAAACATATCAAATGTTGAAACTAAGAAATTTGAACATGTTTTTTTAAAACAAGGTCATTTTGAATTTTATGGCTGCAAAACGTCTCAATAAAGATGAGACTAGCAAAAAAAAAAAAAAGGATATAAAGAGGTAAAAATAAGAAACAGCTGGAGGAGCATTTCACAACTAATTATGTAGGTTAACAACAACAACAACAACAACAACGTGTATATTGTCATCATTGTATGTTAACATATAATGGTGAAATTGGCTCTCTGCTTTTAGCCCATCCACAGCCAGGTGGAGCACTGGGCAGCTATGGAGGGCACCCGGGGAGCAACTGGGATAGGGTGTCCTGCACAGAGACACCACGAGATGTGCAATGACCGGGGATTGAGCCCAGGACCTTCGGGTCCAGGGTTGGCTGCCCTGCCCCCGCACCATCTCGCTCCCCCCCACCAATCAACAAGTCAGGAAAAGGACTGGGTATTAAAAAAAAGACGTTTAAAGCGGCCTCAGAAGTAAAGATGGGCATAGGTTCACCAGTCTGCAAAAAAAGGCATCTAAAAATAAAACTATTTCAGAATAATGTTCATTATTGTAAAACTGAGAAGACTTTGAATACCCCATCATCTACAGTTCGTATCAACATATTTCAAGAATCTGTAGAAATCTCTGAGCTCAAAAGGACAAGACTGAAACACTGGAAGGTCGTGATCTTCAGCTCTTTAAGGACCACTGCATTAAAAACAGGTCTTGGTCTGTTCTGGACATCACTGCATGGGCTCAGTAACACCTCCACAAATCATTTGCTGTATACACAGTTCACTGTGCCATCCACAAATGCTGCTTAAAGCTCTATCATGCAAAGAAGCAGCCGCATGTGAACACCATACAGAACTGCCGTGTATGGAACAAAGCTCATTTAAAATTGACTGAGACAAGTGGAGCACTGTTCTGTTAGACTAACTGAAATCTGAAATTATTTTTGGAAAATACAGGTGCCATGTCCTCCGCACTAAAGAGTAGAGAGATCAATCAGCTTGGTACCAGCACTCGGTTCAAAAGCCTGCTTCTCTGATGGTATGGGGGTGCATTTGTGCCTCAGGCATAGGCAGCTTACATATCTGGAAAGGCTCCATCAATGCAGAAAATTATAGAAAGGGTTTAAACATAAGCTCCCATTCAGCAAATAAGAGCAAGGACTGTTAAACAGCTAGAATTCTCCATCGGACCTGAATGGGACATTTTCCTCAGTTCCTGGATGTTTACAGATTGTTGTAAAAAGAATAGGGGATGCTTCAGTGTGTTAAACATGGCCCTGGAACAACTTCTTTTATGTTCTCAAAAAAACAATACAATTTACAGGTAGTTGAAAAGTTTGATATGTCTACTTTGTTTGAGTATGAATAAAATATGGATTTATTATATTTGTTCTTACGTTTACATTTTACACAATGTCCCAAAGATTTTGGAATTGAGATTGCAGTTTCTGTTTTGTTTTCAGATTAACAGATGTGATGGAGTGTGTACCGATGACGCTGCCGGTGGTTCCTCCGGGGCAGCCGACGGTGGAAAGGCAGGGGCCGTTGTTTCCTGCGCTCGACACAAAAATCACATTGTGCTTCTGCACAGCCTCTGTGATCACCTCACAAATCCTCCTGAAAGACAAATATTTCACACAGAAACGATGACGATCTGTAACAGTGTAATTAAATAAACATTAATAATAAATAAAAATCAAAGACCCCGTTTTCCAGTGCTCACCCTGAATTAGGCCAGTGAGTGGCTTCCCCATAGCTGTAGTTAACCAGGTCACACTTGTAGTTGATCACTTCAATCATCTTTTAAAAGCAGAGGGAGACACAAAGAATATGTTTTTTTAGAAAAAAAAATTCTATTGTAAATTTGATGGTTTGTTAACGAAGGCATATACCGCGCGGATGAGTCCGGTGCCCGTTTCCATGGTGCTGAGGCGAGTGTCTCCGATCTTCAGAGCCAGAATTTGAGCACCAGGAGCAACGCCGTTACGTTCTGGTTCCTCTGGGAAGTAGCCTGCCGCGATGCTTGCCACATGTGTCCCATGAGCCCCTTTGATAAATCACATTACACTGGAGCGTCAAAACATTATACAGTCTGAACTCCCAAACTGCCAGTAACTCTTCCGCTGTGAGGAATCAACCGATTGAACGACACAAAGGATTCAGATTTGCTGTCTGAGGATAACTCACCTCCACTGGTAACAATGCAGAGTGTGTTTCCCTCGTCGTATATATTGACAGAGTAGTTAAGCATCTCAGCATTTCCTAATGTGGCATACTCTTGTTTTTCTCTGTAAGAGCTCAGCACCGTGCACTGGGACAGTTCTCCACACTCTGATGTGTCCACTACAGCCCTAAAAAAGTATACACAATGAGAAAAATAAAAACGATATACTTTTGCTAACAATAGTAGGTAGTGCGGGGTAAAGGTAGGGAGTAGAGCTTACTTCCACGTGGTGCCATCATGCCAAAGTACGCAGTCAAACACTGGGCCAGGATCACTGTATTTCTTTTCCAGCGAGGCCAACAGTTCTGACTGACTCTGCAGCTCATCTTTCTGCAGCTTCTCCATCTGGAAAGAGAGAAAGGCAAGATGAAGGATGTGAACAGCACTTGTGAAAACACTAGGAGCTCAGGTTTGTGGGTCTGACCTGCGAAGGTGTTGGATGAGCGAGGTCAAACTCTTCTGTCTTGCGACAAACTTCAGCGAGGGCTGCTCTGTGCGGTGGGTCCCACAGTTTCTCTTTTCTCTCTTTCTAGTTGACAAAATGAGCAAAATTGAAGCCAAACCCACAAAAGAAATTTACGACAAAAGGTTTTTATACTATTATTGGTCTTTTTAAGCCTGCATGTTTGCTTTAAATGTTTCTTATAAACATTTTTTTTTAATCTATTACACATTATTAATTATTGCTATTGATGCGTTTCCTCATTTATCGACCCATGATCTTATTAATGAATGTACAAATCTGAAAATAAATGTGAGAAAAACAATAAGATCAGCTGTTTGACCGTTTCTACCGAGGATGTCAAGTTGATATGTGAAAGCTTATCAAGACTCATGGGACGGGGAATCTTTAAGCACCTCAAGATCAAATTATGATTCAAAAGAATGTGATGCGAATATGAAACAATTATCGATTCATCTGGATTCTAGCCATTGCTTATTTTGCATTAACAAACACTGTTTTGTATATTTTCATGCCTTAATAGAGAGTGCACACTACTATGTCAAACTAATAATTACAGGCTGATAACCAAGAATTAGCATAGATGCTTATTTAAAATACCTCTGAAAAGCTAATGCAATTAGCACCGCGTTTATCACAGGAAATTTATACACAAATCTAAAGTTTTAAATCCAGCACTAAAGGCAATTGTGTTATAACTTCAACTATTACTAACATACATATAATCTTCACAGGTCAGTAAAGACAAGATGAAAAAGATGAGAAAAAAAACGCAACATGTTTCTATGACAGTAGTAGTGTCCAGTCCTGGTCCTCAAGAGTCACTATCCTGCATATTTTAGATATTTATCTGCTTCAGCACACCTGATTTGAATCAATGGACGATTAACAGGATTCTGCAGAACATAAGTCAACCAGTGAATCATGTGTTGGAGCAGGGGAACATCTAAAACATACAGGATAGTGGCCCTCGAGGACCAGGACTGGAGGACACCCACAGACTACAAGAAGCTACAATAACTCTACAAGGGCAAAAAAAAACACCGCACAGCAACTATTCTGGAGAGTTTTCTAAAGCGGCAACACCGATTTAACAAAAACAATTTTTGACATTTGATTTGGAATCTTCCATATCCGTGACGCGATGCATCCAGAAAATAAATGTTGCTTCCCACTCTTAGAAAGCTCGCTCTAAACTCTGTGGACTTGGAACAAAAATTAAAAGTGATAACAATGACAGAACGGGAACAGGAATTATGTCGTATATTCCTACCTGTATTCTTTCTTTAAGAGCCTTAGGGAAGAACTCGTAGCCATTTTTAACTCCAATGTGATACTTCCCTGATGGATTGACCCAGGCAGGAGGGATCTGAAAGACATAAAAAGATACATGACGCGACCACAAAAAGCTGGCTTGAGATGTAGGTCAATAGCTCTGGCAGAACATTTCTGACGTGACAGCAGTTCTGCGATCACTTTCCATACAGCTTAAGCTCAAAAGAACCTTAAGTGTTCTGCCGGAGAGGCCGCCGATTGTCCCGTCTTTGGGTTCTACCACTGTGGTCATGTTCACGTCACCACTTCCTGTTGTGTCGATGATGTCGACGATCTTTGGCTTTCCTTCAGTTGTGACCTAAAACAGCAGCAATAAAAGAACAAAGAAAAATCATGCCGATCATTCTTTATTTAAATCTGCACACCTTTTAAATGTTTGAATACTTACTTTACTGTAATTTTTTTAAACTTGTATTTAATTTATTTTAAGCTCTCCACTCATACCAAAACAATGTGCAGACCAAGGTGAAGAACAAACAAGCTCGTGTATATTTTATAAAACAATAAGATGCTGCATCAAGAGAAGTAAAGCTTCCAAACTGACTTCATCCTGTTTTGCAAAAGCTGCTTATTCTAGGAAACTGAAACTTGATTTCTGGTAAATTTGTTGATGGAGATGTGAAAGGTCACAGGCGTTTTTCACTTAATAATGACAAATGTATACGAACCATGTGTGGTGTTAAGACAGTGTTTTGTCTGGACAGAGTGGAGCTACAGAAGCATGGAAACTTTCACCTCATAAACCAGGAATTTGTGTTTCTAATATTTAGAGCTTTAGGCTACAATTAAAATCTATTACGGTAAAAAAGCATTCTGACCCGAAAGTCTTTTTTGATTTGCACTGGACTGTGGTCAATTTAAAACGTATAAACGCACGTGAAATCCATTCAGTTCATGTACATTTTTATTTATAACGTTGCGGTTTTTTTGGGGTTTTTTTATGCAGCTCGGTTTTTATCGCTTCCATTAAGATCTGACAAATTAAGACCAATTATATGTCTAACAAAAGTTAAGTCAGATCCTCTGGATGATGCAAAAAGTAAAAAAAATGAATAAATAAATAAAATGAAATGGAGGCCTCTGCCCGTTTAATGATGGACGGCTTCTAAAGATGAGTTCATTCCTCTCTCAAACCATCGTTCCTCTTTATCAAGGACGTGAACATCTTCATCCCTTAAAGAGTGACCTCTGGCCTGCAGATGAGTGCAGACTGCAGAGTCCGGACCTGATGATGTTGCTCTTCTGTGCTGGGCCATCCTTTTTGGCCAGTGGCTGTTTAGTTTCCCCGATGAATGACTGATCACAGCCCTCTTGACACTGAACAACAATATTACTGTTTGTGCCGGGGGACTGGATCTTTGGGACGGACCAGTCTTTGCCGTAATGTATTTTGGGTTGAAAGTCACTGGGGTGTCACGTTTAAAAAATAAACATCTCAGTTTCTCTGAAACTCCCACAACATACAGAATGACCACTGGTCTGGGTTCCTCCTTTTCACCTGATAGTTCACTGATTATGGAGCATGCATCAGGATACCAATCTGTGCAAGTACTTATTTAATTTTTGGCTCTATCCATTTTTATGTAATCAGAATTTCTTTATTTGTGGATGCATCAACCAGTTAATACAATTAAGTCAATGTTCCTATTAAACTAGATTTTATCCTAAAGTCCTCATAATGGAAGGATGCCCGATTTTTTTTTTCTCCCAAAAAATGACTTCTTCTCTTGCTAAATTAGACACCACGATTTACTGACATAATTGGTCAGTTAAATATAAAAAGGCTCAATTTCCTGATAACCTACTTGGGGTAAGTTAATACAGGTTGTTTTAGCAGCTAGAAGCGCGTGTGTGTAACTCTAACCAACTGACAAGTGTAAACACTGGAAACGTAAGCGGTCAAATTCAGCTATTAGCTTTCAAGTTAGCATGTGTGCTAACTTTAACGTTAAATACGTTACAGTCCGCTTGCTTGGCATTAAAACACTATTTGATAGTAGATAAAAACATTTGCGACTGGCTGGTTTGGGTTATTTTGGCTGTCATAAACATTATAATGGAATTTAGGCTATTTTCCATGGGTAGCTTGCTAGCTAACTGGCTAACTGCTGCCGGTGAGTACAGTACAAATGACGTCGGCCTTTAGCTTCTTAGCTAGTAGCGCTAGCCGCTCGGTAGAAGCTAACACGAGGCAACCGGTCAGACGTACCTGCATGCCGGGAGCCCCCGGATCCACGCCGGTGTCGAGGATCGCGATGAGCACCCCTCGCCCATCGTACTCCGGGAACCTGGTGAGGTAGGAGGCAGCGCCGGTTTCTTTCTTGGGCAGAAGTCCGTGGAAAGGAAACGGTTCTTCGGTAGAATGAGCAGCCATGACTCGAACGAATTTTTTTTTTTTTTAAAGGAGCGACGAAAACAAAGCAGCGGAACGGGGAAGAGACGGAGGAGGACAGCGGATTAAAGGCGCAGTGCAGGTTGTGTTTTCCGCCCAGTCACTTCTCTCGAACCCCGCCTGCTGCCCTTGGGTCAAAAATTACCCCTAGGAGAGCGTCAGGGGTCATTTCATGTACAAATGACCAGCTATTATATAGCCATCACACTAATATACATAAATAGTTCCAACGTTAAAATAACTTATTAAATCCTGGTTCTTAATCCTGCTGCTACCCTTGGGTCAAATTGACCCCTGCCCCCAGAGGTCCTATTTACTCATTAGAGTAGTTATATAGAAATAGCTCAAACAATATGTGAGCTAACATTTTTAATCCTAGTTCTTAATCTTGCTGCTGTCCTTAGTTCAAATTGACCCCTGAGGGAAGCCTCGGGGGGCTGCCATTGGTGACCTTGGCCACCATAGATTAACAGATTAAATTTCGGCCATACCATCGACAGGGCCGGACCAAGGCATAAGCAAATTTAGGGCCCGGGGGCTACAAGGGGTCCCCATAAGTGAACTTGATTTTTTTTTTTGTAATGATTTCTAGGATTCTATTACACACCATTTCATTATGAAGTTGTGTTGTTTTTTTGTTACAATAATATTTTTTAATAATGTTATTTTTTATAATATAGCATGTGTCAAACTCAAGGCCCGTGGGCCAAATCCGGCCCGCCATAACCATTTCTGTGGCTCTCTACACCCTAGAGCAGGGCTGTTCAGCTGCATTGCTCAGGGGGGCACAGTTACTGAAACCCAAGAGCTCAGGGGCTGGACATCCAGCAGTTATTGTCATTTAGTAAGGCTGGTTTACAATTAAAAATCAAGTTTTATTTAAAAAATGGACCCATTAGTGGGCCGAACTGAGCACACCCGTGGGCCTGATTTGGCCCCCGGGCCTCTAGTTGAATAACCCTGCCCTAGAGGGCCACAGAAACAGAACTTCAAGATAACATTTGTGTGCCTCAACATTACTTTATCAGTCAAATCAAATCATAATGCCAAATTACTCAAACATAAAATATTAAATTTTTAGAAGTAGTCATCAAATGCAGAGAAAGTTATATTTTACTAGTTTAACAGGTAGTTTTATCAATACACTCTGCCATGTCCGGCCTTTTGAGGACATTCACGAGCCTGATGTGACCCAAAATGAAAATGAGTTTGACACCCATGCTATACACATAATGTGAACAGGGCTGCAATGAGTTTATGTTAGGTGGGTGAATGATCTGATCTAACTGTTGATTGCAGTAAATCACATTATTAGCAGAAATAGAGGGTCCCAAACCAAATTTCGCTTAAGGCCCCATGGAGGCTTGGGCCAGTCCTGACCATCGACCACCCCAGTCATTTGAGAAAAATATACTTTTATGCAATGTAAAAAGCAGAAAGCCTGTTTTCTTCAAAAAGGGGTGGCTGGTTTCCGCTCCGCTCCTGTTTCCTGGAATATCTTGCAAAAAGATCTGAAACTCTCGACCTTGACCTCTCTAAGTGGCTTCACACATCTGCTAAGTTCCTGGGAAAAACCAATGCAGACATGTTCCTGTTTCTAGTATTCGTCATCGCCTTACAACCTAGCTGTTTTGTTTTTTTGTTACTTTTTTAATACCGTTTTATTGTCACTTGTTATTCTCAATTTGTTTGCTTTAGTCTACTGTTGTCTTTGTTGTCCACTGTTGTAATCACTCTGTTAAAATCAGGTCTCGCTTGTAAATGAGTCCCCGAGGCTCAATGGGATTAACCTGTATAAATAAAAGGTAGAATTTTAAAAATATATATACAGTGTATAAATATACCGGTATATATACGCAACATGCATGGACAGACGAACAAACAAAGGCTATTTCAGTTTCCCCTTTTTGCTCTGCAACTGGGGACAAAAACTGAGCTAGAATCAAAGTACTGGTGTCTCAACAAGACTTAGAAGAACTCATCCATGCATTCGTCTTAACTTAACTATTATAATAGAGTATTTGCTGGCTTTCCTAAATAAAAAAAACATGAACACATCTGCAGCTGATCCAGAATGCTGCCGCTCCAGTCCTCACAAAGAATAAGAGAGTTAATCATATCAGTCCGGTTCTGAAGTCTTTGCTTTGACTTCCTACAGAGAATCGATTTTAAAATCTTGTGGCTAGTTTACATAGCACTGCACGATCTGGGTCCAAAATACATCACCGATCTTCTGCTGCCCATTGAACCACCAACACCTCTTTGGTTGTCTTGTTCTAACTCTGGAGACTGATGTAAACCAAACCATGCAGAAGCTGTGTTCAGGTTTTATGCACCAAATATCTAGAACAAACCCCAAAAAACTGTTTGACCGTTCCAACTGTGATTTCTTTTGGTAATGAGAATATTAAAGCCATTGAAGTCATGTCTAAACTAATTATTTTTTGTAGAATAAACTTTCTTCAAACATCAACAACTTCTAACAGCGTGTGCTCACTTGGTGGTGCTGTAACACCACGGGATGGTTGCTGTGGTCACTGTGCTTGGGGTCCAAACTGAATAATTCCTCGTGTGGTTTAAAATAAACAGATTTTGCATTTTGGCATAAATTACATCACTGATTATAAAACCAGCTCATCAAATCAAATAACCATCCAAATAGCAGTTCTTTGAGAAGTAGCAGCTGTCAGAAATGAACCGAATGTGGCGTCCTGATGATTTCTGTTATTTCATCTTTGTAACGGTTGAGTTTTCTGATGCGTGATGAAACAGCAAACAGAGTTTGTGTGTCGAAGGTGTTCGTTCTTATGTAAACAATACATACATTGGATTCGTTTGAGGCTACAGTGTTTGCCTTGGTTTACTCCAAGTAAACAGAGATACAGTGTTAAAAATGGACAAAACAATAATATCCTAAATCAGATTAACGTGAACATTATGGTCATGTCTGTTGATGATGACAAATCCAGTGCAGGTCCTCATCTGACTGGCCAAATCCCATACCGTCTGATTTGTGCTTTATTCACAGAGCTTTTGTCTTCTCCATAAAAACAAGGATTAGGTCTGCACATGTCTGCAGCCATCTGTTCAGATCAGCATGTTGTCTTTCCCACACGTATGAAATATCTATATCCTATGTGCAGTGGAACTGAGGGTGGGTGTTTGCTCTACAACAAACGGCGACAGTAGGCAGGGTTCGTTGTACAGTTTATTTTTTTTTAATTTTTTATAAAGTGCCAACGCCCTCAGACCTCGTTCTGTTGACTTG